ACCTTGGGATCACTTTCACGTTACATATGTACTCAGAAGTACATTCAAATATGTCGATTACGCGTCAAGAGCGCTCTCTCTTATCTCAAGTATTGGAGAACACATTGGAGCTCTCCCTCCCCTCCTCAAACTGAATTTTCACCTTCTAAAGCACACTTTGTTGACTATGGAAATTACAATACGATTCGCTTGTGTATTCATAAAAAGGCATCAAACCCTTTTTGTTTCCGTCAGTCACAAGCAACACAGACGTCGTACAACGTAAAGTTGTATTTGTGAATGATTTATTACTTAAAATTGGCACGATGGAATATGTACAACTAAAAAGAAATGTCTTATTAAATTACAAACATGATATGATGAAATGAAAGGAAGTAGCCACCACTGACAACACAGAGCAGCAGGCATTAGTGCACCCATTATGTTGGTCCCTTCCATGAGGAAGTCATTGAGATGCTTAATCACATCAAGTCTCCGGTTCGAACGTAGTATCGAAGTTGATCTTCTGAATTCACCACAACCAGACGCCGCTTTACGGTATGTTCACCGCCCAGTGCCAGAAGTTGGTGCTCCACTAAAGTAAGTATCGAAATGATTTTCGTAGAAATTGATGGTCATGAAACTCAAACACCCAGACTAAGACTCCAAGTAGGCAGATAAGGTAAATATTTAGTACTAGTAAACAGATAAGTAATCAGATAGATAAGCAATACCCAGATTGAATGTGAGGTCACAGCGGTTGATAATGAAGTTGTGGATGAGAAATGACTACAAATGAAAAAAGAAGCAAGGAAACCGTCGATGAAGCCGAAACAAAATCTCCTTGAAATAAGGAAGGGGCGGGGCCGGACGAGTTGTGCGAACTTGCCTGCTCCACGGCCCAGCCAACCCGCTACGCCGTGATCCACGTTGCGTGTGTTGGGGTGTGCGCTACGTAACCCGTTCAAATGCTAAAATTAATCGCCAAAAACTGACTTTGTAACGCATTTTCGAGCCGCGACAATGGCACGTCTGCGGTGAGCTACTCTATCCCACCAACTGAATAGATTTCTCGACAAGACTTTTGCTGATTGGTTCAAACTGAGAGTATGTCAACAATGAATGCGTTAGAGTGAACCTACCACTGTGTCCAGGTCGATTTGCTAAGCATGTGTGGTGGGATCCCAATTTGACTTGCAAGTTTGGGGATCTGCTTCTAACGCACGACGGATTTCTTCAAGACTCAAACCACGTGCAACACGCTTGTCTGATGGGCAGCCTTCGACCGGTGGACATTTTGTCTAAATCGTATAAATACGTATAATGTATGCTGTAGCAACTAATAAACGCTCACACTTGGACACGGCGCAAACGGACAAATGCGCACAAGGCACGAGTACTGTACATGAGGTGTGCTCTGATAACGGAACGACTCTACAGTGATCTAAAAATGCAAAACGACTGAAAAATGCATAAGGTGCTTGAATGGTCCTGAAGCACCACCTTTACGCCGTACTCCGATCGCTTAGGCGGACAAACTAGTCCTACGAGATCAGCCTGGCAACCTTCACGAATAATAGGCAGGGGTTCTCGTTCCCATTCGTACTTTGAATCGATCGGTTCTACCTGACACTCCTGGACCGGACATATAATCAGCTAAACAAAATAAATACTTCAGAAATAGATGCATAACTTGAAATAATTGGATGAATGAAATCAATTGGAGTCTATGCTCACGCGGAATGGCATAAAGAGGAGTGAATGACAACGTGATCTTGGTCCCAACGACGACTGCCTCAACAGGTTGTCCGTTGTGGAAAATATCAAATGAGACCGCACCCTTTCGATGATTTTGATGATCCAGCGGCTCTGAAAACATGCTTGATTTTGAGAATTCTTTTGGGAAGAAAAAAATACAGAAAAAAAAACAAAATTTTGAAAATATGTCAGTTCTATGGGAAAAACATTCTCAGACACCCATGTAACCTTTTTGCGCGTGTGCATTTTTTCGGATTTTCTATCTTTGCTTATTCCATAATTTGCACCTTAAAGGACGAATTCACGTTAAGAACGAAAGTCGAACAAAGGGGAAATGGCCTAGTTGGGATACAGGCGGACCTCCTGAGGGTGCTGACCAACGCGCAATTGGCAGCGAAAGATTTGACCTCGGCGCTCCAGCATAGCTCAATCTTGGCGCGGTTGGCCAGGTGTACGCCCACCGACCATCTAATCACTCGCCGCAGGTCTATACGTAACGAGTGATTAGATAGCAGAGAGAGTGGAGAGGGGCACAAAGATGAGAGTCGCATCCAATGCGCAAATCAACGGGCAAGGAAGGCCCCCATTTCTCGGGTTCTGGGCCATTTTCCTGAATTTTTTCTTCTTTCGTGCATCGCTGAACATCTCTAACTTAATTTGAAGATGGGTTGCTTTTTCAGCGTTAATTCATCCTTTGATGTAGCCACAGGTGGTTCGCAAAATAGTCAGATATGTTCCTGCTGGACAAAACTTGAATGTCGTAACAACCAGACTCCAATGAGGAGCTTCACCGCCTTCATTGATCCATTGTCAGAAAAGCTGTCTCAGACTCGACATTTGAAGCTAATGCCAAAACAGTGCAAAAACCTCGTCAAATCTTCAGCTGTTCAGAGAGCCGCGGGTACCCGACAGGAGGCCCGTCGCGCGGCAAGAAGGCAGAGTCGCGGACGAGTCGCAGCGCGTGATGTGCGATGTAGGACGTACAATGGTGCATTCTATTTAACTTGACGCGGAATTACTACAGCACGCGCTGCAACTCGTCCGCCGAAATGCGGTATCACCTACAGAATGGTGGAGAGGTCAAATAAGGGATAGCTAGAGCATTGGCCAAGATGTATAACAGAAAGCATACATGAATTAAAGATAGATAGTACGACAAATTGGCGCCGCCAATAATGAAAGTAGGAAGGCTAAACGTTGCCGCAGCGCGAGAAAAAACAAGGCAAATGGTACAGGATCCGCGAAATGGGACCCATAATTTTCACTTTGATTAGTGACTAGACGAGTTATAGCTGCGCTATCAGCATTAAGCTCTGTTCCGAGTTTCTTCTAACAGGGCTCAAGTCTGACAGCCAGAAACCAGCTGCTGTCGGAAGCGGGCAAAGGCACGAAGGTGACCCTAAGTACATGTAGTCTTATTATACATGTAGTCTTCGATATGAACGCATGCTTTGCCATTAAGGTGCTACTTCGATCCTTCAGAAGCCCAGTCTCCTGTACAATAGGCACACTTCCCCTTATGCAACGTCCAGTTTATCGCGCCAACTGCCTCTAAGTGAAGATACGCTAACGCACGCACCGAATGGATGGTTTCCAAAGCCAAAGTCCTCGTTTACCAAAAAAGAACCGGAGACCAAGAAAGTGATTAAGGTGAACATTAAATTGGTGAATAAGATGGGCACCCGCAGTACGCGTTCTTTAGATGCCGCTTTTCAAAGACTACCTGAAAACCACCGAAAATGACGGGGACAAGGTGATGGGCAAGGCGTGCACCAGAAAAGGCGAACTCGATACTGGAAAATTGTAACGTTGCGCTACAGTTTCGAGGCAGGAAAAGTTTAGTTGGTTGCCTGCGAAGGAGAAGATGT